ATGGGGACACCTATCCGATGCTTATAGACCAATCGCATGGTAAGAGGCGACTCAAAGATGGCGATGTGCGTGATTTCTTTGAAGACAATGCCATTGTTAGGGATTCGGAGTTGGTGTTTACCTTGATTCCGTTTAGGTATCCCCGGTTTAGAGTGGTCAAAATTGATGTGTAGCATGTATTTGAACGACAAACATTTTAACACTTTTTTTTCATTATTATGGTCTTTGATGTGACGTTATGTAGGAATTGAATGGTAACAGCTTCTCAGGTATTTTGTGACGAATGATATGCTATGTATCTTAACGTGAATGAAACATAACCAATCGAAGAATTGTGTGTTAAACATTTAATCGTGTTCAATCATGTTTAGAAAAACATAATAATGTCAATGAAACATTACGGGTACAACACCGAAACATTTGAACACAACACCGGACATACATAACATTACAGACATTTGCTCAATGGAACAAAGCACGGGTACATGAGAACGGAACGACTACATAAGAAACAATTAGGAACATGTAATAACATACGGGTACAACACCGAAACAAATAACAAACATAGTAAAGAACCATTAAACAAACAACCAACCACAACTAACATTTTCATACACCACCAAAACAAGAACAAACATAGAAGGGAAAGATATAGCGACGAAGCTAATTCCACGGCCAATCATGCGCGTAGTCCATAGGAGTGGCGGAACAGGCAGTAGATATTGAATTTTCTTCTGGTTCAGGTGCACCGTGAGAGGAGATGTCGTTTCTGGGCTGATTCACAGAGCCATCAGTTGAACCGGTTTGACTGTGAATGGATTGCTTCTTTTTTGGGCCCTTCGAACTGCTCCCCATATAAAAGGCCGGACGCGGTGGTTGTTTTTTAGCTCTCGGAGGGATGTCAGTTCGAACGGGATAGGGAACTAACCTACTCGGTGGCAGGCGGTTGGGAGGGTAATCATCCACGTCGATAACTTCAACACCTTTGCCCCGGCCCTTACTACCCTTCATTTTATCTTCGTCTTCGCTGTCAGAAATGATACACCACTGCAGAGGATTTACGTACGGTGGCTCCTCGTAAAACAACTCCACAAGTTTGTTGTGATGTGGATCACCTTCCGTCATGTACGCCAGGGAAAAGTCATTCCACTACGGGAAAAACAAAATATAAATTAGAATGCAACTCTTGCGAAGAGGTATATCAAATGAAAACGATTTTATTTTAGGCAAAACTCACCCTTAGCATTTCATCCCAAGTACTGCCCGAAGCATGGTACTTGTTCTGCCCGACGTCGTATTCAACACCAGCCTTGTCTTTCAGAGCCGTGAAAACTTCATGCCGTTTCTCCAAAACTCCAACTCGTATTCCGATGTATTCCATCGTGAAACTCTTGCTGAACCACGCATTGAATGCTCGCGTAGCACCAAGTATGGACTCAGTATTATCTGCATTAGGAACAAATATACCACATAGCTTATCTTCAAGTAAGTAGTTTATAAGGAAGTCATCAAACTCTGGCGTCCAATTTAGGTCGTACAAATAGTCTGCTTGCACTAAACCAAAATCAGGAGCCATCGCAAAATTTATGAATTAGGATTTTTCTTGTTTTTTATAACTTCAGTAATAATTGACTACTTCCTTCAATGGTTGTGGAATACTTAGTATGTGTTATGGTGTTTAAATAGAAAAATTCGTGAACCAAATCAATCATGCATTCAATGGTTGGACCAATGGGTATGGTCTTATTGTCTATTCAATGCAGCTTTGCAGAAGTAGCTGTAAGCTACCTATAGACATGTGTAGTGACTTGTCATAGCCTGTCCCCCATTATCTGACGTTTTTGACCAAAAAGATGACTCCAGGGGTCACTTTAGGGTTGTGGGCATGCTCTTTCATCATAACACGACACCTATATGCATTGGTTTCATATTTATAAATTTCGTTGAGTATGCATTGATGTGATTAAATGGAAAAATTGAAAGCCATAAGACCAATAATGATAGCTCAAGAATTGCAGAACCTGGTAAAGACCTATCAGCTCAGCTATGGATGATAGCTCAAGAAACCTGGCATTAGACCTGCATTGAACTGCATTAGTACACATGTCCAGTCATTTCAAAACACGCAATTCAAAACTGCATTATTAATTGTCACTATAACGCAAACAACAAAATTTGTTTTCAACCTGCCAAGATGTAACTAATCTTCTTTACCGGGCCAGCTTGGCTATGAATAGGGCTCAATAATAGGTCAACATTGTATCCATAAAGTTGTAATTCAACAAAAATGATGGTAAACATGGTTGTGAAGTCATTTACTGCAATGAAATCAACCTTAAAGAAAAGATTAAGCCTACCTATACACCTGTCGTGAGTTGTCATATCACGTCATGTCAAATATAAAACTTTTGACCATGACGTTAACGACGCCTCAATGGTCAGTTTTCAGCCATTGTGACCAATAATGCATGTAATTATTTAAATTGAATATAAGATTTCCCAATAAAGTTGAATGCATAGTAATCCATCGTTAATAAAACAGTACAAAGTAGGTTTACAAAATATCAGTTATTACACACAGCCCTTGTGGACCATAATTTAAGGACATCATCATAGTTTATTCTACCCGACCTTACTTAAAAAACAAAAGACTGAAACAAATCAAAACAATGATCCAAACTGTAGATTTCATATATTTGAGCTTCTTCTCCAAACTTCGAGCTTTACGGACCGCATAATCAAGGCTCAACTGTAGTTCTACATTTTTCGCTGTTTCAATCTCCAAATTGTTCAACAACACCTTCTTCTCATTTTCCAACGTATTTTTCTCGGAAGCTTTTAAGTCTAGCCTCTCTGATAGCAGTTTCTCCATTTCTTTTTGGTAAAACATTTGGTCCCGCAATCGGTCCTTCTCAGCCTTAAGCTTGTTAAAACAAGCCTTTTGGAACGGCGGCAACTCGGGATCAATCCATAGAAACAGGGGACAAGGCTTTTTACCATCATTCAACTATGAAAAATCAAAATAATTCAGAGGTAAAACTTCATGTACATACTTGTTAACAAAAGAAAATACTATTTTCCACACAAACAAAACTATCAAATAAGATTTGTCACAAAGTGGGAATAAAATTTACCCTGATGTGAGAACATTTGCAGAACCTTCGAGCTGGATTTTCACTCGTTGTTGATGTCAACACATCGGCTACGTCGCCACAACCACATAGCCTATAATCAGAAGGACTACTAGAGGATCGGTTATATGGAGTGCTTGAACTCGTGTGAGAAAAATATGACATCTTGCTTGGCTGAAAAAAAGATTTTGAGAAAGTGCCCCCCTGTGGTTGAGCTTAATCACAAATTAACATCAAAGCACATATATATATATTTCAGTAAAGACCTCATAGTTACAAATTTCTTTGCATTCAGACACATTTAAGGGGTAAGCCATAAAAGTGCCCCCTGTGGTCTAGCTTAGTTATGAAAATGTTAAACAAAGAAAGTTCTGGTACTTCCCAAAATCACAAAAGGAATCAACATTAGGTATTGCAATAGCCAGTTAGCTGTTAGGTTTTTATTTTCACAAAATCACAAAAGGAATCAATGCACTAGGATACATTTATTCCAATTGCAATAGAGATCAATTGTACATGCTGTGAAGCTGACATTGAGTTCTTCCACAAAATTCAGAAAAACATTGATTTTTAATGTAAACATTTTGGTTCAAAATTTTTATGAAACACAAAAACCATAACCATAACATATTACCCTTCTCTAAGCACCCAACACAAGCAGTGCAAGGCTATCTTCAACCTCAACCTCAGAGCAATTAAGAAATATAACAGAGACAAACCGTACAAATGAAAAAAGTGAAACGAGTTACTGAAGTAAGAGGTATAAGCACTGCATATGATCGAAAAAACACTACTAACAAATTCAGGTTCAGAAAAGTCCTCCAAAAATCGTAAAACAACACCTCAAAACTCAGGTTAACCTACGAAATGAAGTACCTATCAGAAAACCTTTGTCGGTTAAGGAAATGAAAACCAATATATAATAAGCACAGCATATATGTTCAGAAAGATTCATATTCGAATCCGGCAAAACTACAGAAGGGTATATCCACAAGTTAAACATCACAGACAAAATGTGAACAACTTAAAGCAAATCTAATGACTGAAGAAGGAACCAAAAAAAAAAAAAATCAAAAAATCTTTACCACAGCCAACAATATAACCACAAACATAAAAATGGTATCTTTCAGAAAGACTCAGTACCCTTCAAGCTCGCTCTTGTGTTTTGAGCTCCCACTACATCATATGATACCCAGCAGACAATATTTCGAAACTTCCAAGAATGGATTTTTATGAAACCAATCGAAGTACAAAAACATTCAGCACAGAGAACTAAATCACTTGCACAAACAATCAGACAATGAAACCAATCGAAGGAACCTACTGAACGGAGTCAGACCCTGCGTGTGCGATTCTTATGGAGATAAACCCTCCGCCATTTTCACTTTCTTTCTGTCTCTATCTCTGTGTGTAAGCGCCGTCCTTCCTCGCCCGAAAATATCTGTGGACCTCGTATTCCCGAATGAAAGATTATTTCGACTCAAATCTGGAATTTCATCGATGCTTTGGGTTGATTAGGGTTCGGTCTCTGAAAGAGGGACAAATGATACGAGAGTGAAGACAAGGCCTCGTTTATGGGAGGGTAATTTGGGCATATTTTTGTATCCTATGAATTTATCCAGCATAGTAAACATGGGATAAATTCCAAATTATATAATCCCTCAATGTAAACATGGGATAAATTGCTGACATGTAAAGTTAACTTGATTAAATTGTCATATCCCATCACATAAAGTAAACGAGGCCCTAGGGTTCGTTGCACGCTATGCTGTCTCCGCGCCCAGATTAGGGTTTTAGGCGCTGTCGTTGAATATCGAGGTTTATCTATGGACTCAGAGAAGGACACCAAGGCTGAAGCCGCGAAGTAGGAGGAGGAGGAGAAGGATCTATCTGAGTTGGAAGATGATGGAGGTGAGGTAAAATCGGATGAGGCTGGAGAAAAGGAGGCTGATGAACCAGAGGAATATGAAAATGCTGAGGGAAAAAATGAAGTGAAAGAGGAAACAGAGGGAAATAAAAGAGGAGGCAGATGAGGGCAAAGGCGGTGATGGAAAAGACGAAAGAGATGAGGAAAAGACTGTGAAAAGTAAAAATAAGGGTTTGAAGAGAAAGATGAAAGACTAAACTGTTGAGTTGAAATTGCCCAAGACGCCCCGGGAGCGAGAGGGCCAAGGGAGAGGAAAATAGTGGAGAGATTTAAGGTGTACGAGACTCTTAGGAGCTCTGCCAGTGAGTCCTTGTCAATTGAGCAGGTACTTTGTGATGTTTCATTTTTGTTGGCACAATCATTGTATGCAATTTGAGTTTAGATGATATGAAGGAGAAATGGTAAGGAAGTGCTTCTCCATTGTCTATGTTTTGAACAAACATGTATGTATGTTTCTGTCGTCTGAAATTTTTTATGGTCAAATGTAGATGGCTCGAATGTTATTAGTTTTGATCATTGACTGGCCGGTCGGGTTTGCTGGTCAGTGGCTTTTGTTCTTATTTTGACTTTAGTGTATGATAAAAAGTAATCTTCTTCTGTGTTTCGACTTTTTGGTTGTGGGTCAAATGAGATGTCAATTATACAGATGAAAAAACTGCTATGTTGGAGGGGGGGGGGGGGGTTGAAAACAAATTAGAGGGAACTAGTGGATATCACATTTTTTTGCTTTGTTGTCAGAATAATTTATAGGTATATACATTTGCATAGATAAAATATGCAGGCCTATTAGGTTAATCCCTTTAAATTGGTGCTTTTGTTGCAAATGGAGAAAAGTTGTGCCTCAAATTATTTTATGTACGTTGTGAATGAATGAAAGATATCAGTTTGTATTGAATGTTTTATTGTTCATTTACATCCCCTTCTCTGGAGTTGGAGTCGGGGTTAGTTGGGATTCTGACCAATAAGTTTATTGAATCTATAATAAAAGCTCAAGGCACACAACTTAAGGACATCACTAATGGTATGCTGTTTCCTTTTCACCATATTGTTAATGCTTTTTTGGTTAATCAAATGTGAAACTGAGAGTGGGATGAATTTATCACTCGTGATTGGAGAGACTTGATTGTTTTGCTTTGTTGACAAGGTTCTTTTGGAGTTTTCTTATGTTTTAGTGACAGCGGTTTGAATAGTGAATATATGTTTGTTGAGATGACTGTTATACTTCTGCTTGTGGTGGATTTTTGATAGGATCATATCAGATATTATGAGTTTATGCATTTTTATACATTTTTACTGCATCATGTGCCATTATATACTGTTGCATTTGTCAAAGTCCATGTTTTGTGCCAAGTTCGATAAAGTCTGCAATTGTGTGCCACTTGTACAGATCAACTAGAGACCACGAGCTTGTATTTCTACTGTTACCGGTCACCTTTATGAGGGTGTTTTACTGTGATATAATGGTTGTTCTCTGGACCTCTCACATTATTAGGTACTTAGAATCCTCTCCCTGCTAATCCCTCTATAATTATTAACAAAAAGAAAAAAAAATAAAAATAAAATTGCAGATCTGATAAAGTCATTACTTTTATTTTTTATGTATAATATTAGAAGTATGTATGCGATTTCCGTCATAATACTTAGTATTTTAGTAAAAGCAACATATCATAGGGGATTTCTATTGTAGGGCAAATATACGTTGGCTGATAGCTGATATCTGGATACATGTGTAGGAGAATATTTTGTTTTTTTTCATCCATGCCTTTTTCATTGCTTGTGCTGACATATTGAGTCTGTATTGATAAAAAGTAAAGTTGATGACTGAAATGAAATGCTAGTGATTATATATTCATTTGGGGGCATGTGAATAGGCAGTGGTTTGTGATGCTCAGCAAACTGAGTCCCTAATTGCTCATGGGATGCTGAAACGTGCAACAACAGTCAAGTGGTTGATTCAAGTTGTGTAATTCTAATCTGTTAAAATTTAGTTTTCATGAGCAGCTTAATGAAAATTATAGCTGGAAGGTTGTAATTGATATTAGGTTATATTTTTAGTTCGGTTCCAAGTTTTTCATGTGGATATTTGTGTGATCTTTCAGATCTTCAACTGCAAATGCTAGAAGGGGCCAAGTCAACAAATTAATCGAAGTGCAGAGTTTAGAGCTGTATTGCGATATCCTTCATACAAACAATAGATCGAATACAGAGAATTCCGACGCTTTCAAGAGTACAGAAATAGAGATCTCGAAGATACCAAGTATTTCTCTATGTTAGCCCCATTAAATGTAACAGTGTCTTTGCCGGTAAGCATGTTTTGCTATTATTCTATTCTACAAAAGAATATTGTCTACACTTGTTTCTATTATATTTTTTTTTTCTTTCCCAATTTTGAGAAGAAATATAAATATATTTAGTCAAAAAAAGAACAGGAATTCCCATATAGGAGTACAACTCAAATTAACTATATTCACCATATAAATCTTTTCAACTTATATGTGTACATTCTTTCTTATGAAGTGAACAACGAAAGGATCCATAGAAACACTTAATTTATGTTGGACCTAAATATTTATTCAACTTCATTATATTTGAACTTCGTTAATAATAATAAACATGCTATAATTTCTATAGAACTATAGATTATACTATGTTCAAGACCCTTTAAAAGATTTACCTGTTCTATTTTTTTCGCAATTACCTGACTGCTGGATCAAGGATCTCCATTTCCATTTCTTTATGTTGATTCATTATCTGACGGCCGGTTTTGTAGGATTCGTCGAGCACTGATGCTCATGGATCTGATAGGAGCCTCCTCCTGCGTCTTCCATGATGGCCACTCCGCCGCGAGCATGGGGGCGCCGGTTCCTATGGTGTAGGGATGGCAATGGACCAGGTCGGGCCGGGTAGTTACGGACCCAGACCTGGCCCGCACCCCTGCCCCATGGACCCGACCTGGCCCGCACCCCTGCCCCATGGACCCGACCTGGCCCGTGACCCGTAACGGGTCTAGTCGTCAAGGCCCGTGCCATGGCCTGCTCTGGGGCGGGTCGCCCCGCCCCGTCCAAATCCATCTCGAAACGAACACCCAAATCCATCCCAAAAAAAATGAACCAGACAAAATATAACACCAAAAAAAAAAGAAAAGTGAACACCAAAATTCTTCTTACATATCTCAACTTTTCCAATTTCTAAAAATTTTGAGACCATATCTGTCCTCGCTCTCTGCAAGACTCTATCCCATTCACTGGCCTTTTAATTAACTTTCAATTTTTCGTCATCAATGAACAACAATAATTGAGAAGAGTAGAAAAAGGACGAACAATAGAAAAAGGACGGGGTGCAGGGAATAGGGATAGAGATGAAGAAATAAACCCCAATTAATTCATGTTGGCAATTTTTAAAAAATTTAGGGCATGTACCTAAATATATTTAGGAATTTGGGCTTCAAAAATATTTATGCTAATGCGCTTTAAATTTTAATACCAGGGCACACCATACATATACCTAATATATGTCTAACATTACAAATTACTTACAGGTCGGGTCGGGTCAGGTCGGATTCCAGTACCCGGACTTGCCCCGTTTGTAAAATGGGTTGACCCAACCTGGTCCGTTTTTAAAACGGGTCGGGTCGGGTCCGCCCCAGAGGCCTCGGGGCGGGGCGGACCAATACGGGTCCGGGCCAAATTGCCATCCCTACTATGGTGGTGGGAGTTTATTTATTTATTTATTTATTTTTGTTGAATTTGTAATGTGAATTGCTACACTTTAACACATGAGCCCAATTAATGCAGTGGCAAATATATATTAGTCTTTTTCTACAGTTTAAGCACATATATGTAGTTAAGATATATATGGGCTTTTTAGTCTTTTTAAGATATATGGGCTTTTAAGCCTCTGGCTCTATCCAAAAATTCATTCACATTTAAATACCAACCTTTAGAAAACCCTAATAATTCCCTATATTCTTCCGCCTCCGCCTCCTTTCAGTTTAGAGAGCGAGAGAGAGAACATACCTATATTCTTTTGCCTCTTTTCGGTTGAGAGAAAGTGATAGAGAGGAGAGAAAAACCTTATTATTCTTCTGCCTCTTTGACATTCATCATATTTTCATGCATTATGAGTGATATATTGTGATATTAGGCCTTGGTTATCGTGTGATTGTGCACCATTTTGTTTGATTTATTAATCTATGATAGAGGTGTTTTTGTCGTTGGTTTTGCAGGAAATATGGCCGGAAAAGCGTTGAAAATGGAATCGGGACGAAAAACGGCGAAAACGGGTGCAGAAGAGGTCACACGACTCGTGTGGGTAGTGACACGGGTCGTGTGGGTTGAGAAAATAAGAAACACAGGTAGTGACACGGGTCGTGTGGGTTGAGAAAATAAGAAACGCAGCTCCTTTTTCACACGAGTCGTGTGGATTGAGACACGGGTCGTGTGGCCTCACACGACTCGTGTGACCCAGTCGTGTGACCAGTCGTGTGAGTCTGGAAGTTCGCCGAAATGTTGAGAAAAGTCACACGACTCGTGTGGCATGTGACACGACTCGTGGGACGCGCAGACCAGACCCGCGGGGAATAGGATTCTTGTGCGATTTCTTCCCTTTTTTGACCCAGAAGTGCACTACAGTATAAAAGAGGCCTTAGGAACTCGTTTTTGTGACTTTTGACATCATTGGAGGCCTAGAGAAAGCACGAAACATACGAGGGATTCGAGGAAGTCAAGATTGAAGATTCGGGAACTAACGGCGACAATAGTTCTTCTTTCTTTTCTCTTTTTCTTCTTCATTGAACTCGATTTCATAGTTGAGAAAATCCGGTGGTTTCCTGAATAATTGGAAAGAAAATCTGGCCAAATTGTTTATATTGGAATGATTCCAGTATTTGTTTTTTCCTTGATTCTGTTTTGGAATGATTTAAAATAAGAAGAAAATCAAAAAGTAAATAATGGACTTTTTAATTGGTTTCCACAAATGAGAAGTCAATGGTGTTGTTGACCAGTTTTTTAAAAGTTTCCAGAAATGATTTATTGACCTCTCTTTTTCAATATATATAGATATGACAAAAATAAATTTTTTAAAAAAAGTTCACTAAAGATAGGAAAG